AACAGTTCTGCATCTAGACTCAAAACAACTAATTTCTTTAAAGGACCTAAAACTTGAAAAAATTCAGAAAGGACTAATTTCTTTAAAGGACCTAACTGCATCCGCAAATAAGTTATGAGTTTTAAAATAGTAAAAATATAAAAGAGAATCATGCAAAAACAAATTTAATCAAAATCGAAGCAAAAAATATGGAAAATAAAAAAGAAAATTATCTCTCTATTGAAGCAAGAAAAATCAATTTTCAGAAAAATGTGCATAACGTTTGATAGCTTAGTAGGACCGACCATAGACGGCTTGCATTTGAATCTGATTCAACTCTATAACTTACACTAAAAAAAATAAGCTCAATATAATGGTGAAAGTTCTTCTTCTGGCACTCAAAACAACTAACTTCTTTAAAGGACCTAAAACTTGAAAAAAACTCCGAAAGGGCTAAAATCATCCTTTGTTCCACAGATTCAAACGAGACTCCTCTTTAGTGAAGCCTTCAACAGAGGACTTACGGTCTCCCACATACTAAGTGGTGGGAGTTGTGCCAACAACTAGGACTGAAACCCACTACTACCTCTTATTGGAGTTTATATATGTGATGTTGTTTTAATACTCGGTATGTTTTTTCTTTATTGTTTATGATTTAGTCATTTAGACCTTAATCGTGCTTTCTAATGAATGGTATATTTATTAGGCTGTAACTCGTTATCTAATTTATGAATACTACAAATGAAAGTAACGGAAAAGTTGAATGTAAATGAATGAAATAAGAGAAGTTATGGAATAGAAAAATGGAATTCCATTTTATTCATGAACATTTATAATCATAAATGATTTATAACTACTTTCCATTTTATTCCATACACTCCCCTATAAGGAATTACTGGAATGAGATTTATTTTTATTCATTTAAATAATATTTTTTTTTTGGAATTTTCATGAATTAGTCATTTCACATCATTTCATTCCAAAATCTTGTAATTGAGTTGCACCTTTACTTTTTCTTAACTTCAACAGCAAATCAATTATCAGTTTCTTTTTTAAGATTCACTAAAATGTATGGTAATTCCAAAATACCGGGTCGACCATTTCTTCATACGAAAAAAAAAATGTACACTAATTTAGGCAAACCAGAAATAACAAATCGTTGAACAAGTTTGTTTGACCGATTAATCATGAAGCCAAGTTTTCAAGTTTAGGATCTTTCACGTTTTTTCTTCCACGCTCAACAAAAATGCAAATTCTCAGACACAAGATTCTGAGTTTTGCCCTTTAATTTATTTTCTCAAGATGATGAGTTTAAATGCTCTCCAAAACTCACTCTCACAAGTCTGAAAAATGGATTCAAATGTTATGTTTGATCAAAAGGTTCCTGTGCTAACCTACGCAGCATGCGAATGGTTCCTCATACTCCTCATGCTCATCGATGCTCTTCTCTCCTATCTCCTCGTCTGGTTCGCACGCTACTGCAGATTACAGATGCCATGTTTCCTCTGTTCCAAGATCCTCCATCCTCTCCATTGGAGACTCCTCATCTGCAGAGACCACAGATCAGAGGTCTCATCTTACATGTCATGTCTAAACCACGACGACAAGCTCGCAGACTGTCGAGGAATGTGTAACGATTGTCTCTTGTCCTTCACCAAAACGACCGGTCCGAATCCAGACGTGAACAGATTGCTTCTAGGGAAGCTAGGGTATGATCTCCTCTCTACAACCCATTCTACTCACCTTAGGTCATGTTCTTGTTGCGATAAACCGTGGAGAGCAAGGCACCACACACAGAGACTGATTAGGTTAGGCTCTCGTGGAAGAAACTCATTTAATAATAATAAACCTAACATTCCTTCTGCTCCAAGGCATCATCATCATCATCTTACACGAAGAGGAAGCGTTGGGAGTTTGAAGAAGATGAGAGATCATAGTAGAGCGGAAACAAGTGGTGGTGATGAGTATGTAGACGTTGGAAGTCGCAGCGACGGTATGGCTCAAATGGGTTACACAGAGCTGAAGATTCACTCTGGATCTGAGTCTGACTTCTTGTTTACGGATGATGATTCATTCCTCCAGATGACTGACTTCAACGTTGACCCACCTGAGAGACGTGTTAGGAAGTTTCGATCTAGGTCATCATCGTTTGAAGACATGAAGAAGATGTCGAAGCGTAAAGAGACTTATGTGCAAGAGAAGAAGGATAAGAACGTTCATGTGAAAAAACGGTCTTCTGTGCATGAGAAACGTAAGCTTGAGAAAGAAACACCTGTTGCAACAGGGGAGCATGCATCTGTAATCTCTGAGCTTATAACTATGAGTGAAGCTCGTCCTTTCTCATTGGGCTTACCTCAAGAGGACAGTGCAGGAGCAGCAACACAAAACGGTCAGTTTAGCTCATGAAACACTTGTCAAAATCTATTCATTCGTGCAGTGTTTTTAAAATCGGACCGACCCGATAGTTAGACCAGATTTGACCATGAACCAGTAACATAACCGAGTTGGGTCTAATAACTGGTTCGACCATGAATCGATCATGTAGCCATTGGATTTAAAGTTAAAAATCTGTTAAAACTAGCAAAAAGTCATAAATCAACCATATAAACAAAAAAAAAGTAGTTTATATTTAATATTCAAATTATTTAAATTATGTATCATATTTATTAATATTACCTTTAAATTTATGTATTAAAAATATACTGAACCATGTTTGACCCTGTAGAACCATATTAAACCGTGATCCAAATGGTTATTCGTTTCAGCTTCAGGTCCAGATTTAAAAACATTGCATTCATGTCATATAGTTCCTTAAATATGATGTTGTTTCTTGCAGAAAATGAAACTGAGACTAGTGGCAACTCATCTCCTTCTGGTGGAGAATTCTTGAGTCCTAGAAGAAACTCTGCCTCTCAGGATATTCAGATCCAAGAGCATGATGGTTCAGCAGACTTTGCTCAAAACATATCTGATTCAGATATGAAGATAGAAGAATCTGATGCAGCTATGGAGCAAAAAGTGTCTGTTCATCAGCCTGGTTCTGTTGCAGATGATGAAGAAGATGGAGCTGAAGAAGATTTCAAGCCTTCAGCGTCAGATTCTCTAGCACATGAACAGTCTAGTGAGGAAGAAAAAGAGGTTAGTGTAAACAATGTTGCAGAAGAATACTTCAGTAATGAAGAAGAAGAAGAGGTTAATGCAGATTCTGAGCCGTTGACACCAAAAGATGTAACTGGTCCAGCTGAAGAGCAATCAAGTGAGGAAAAAGAAGAAGATGGAAGTAATGAAGTAGAGAAAGTGGAGAACATAGACTCTGAACCGTTGACAACAAACGACGCAGCTGGTTCTATCACTGATGATCATGAAGAGACTGAGCCTTTGACATCAGACATTGCAGCTGGTTCTGTCACTGAGGATCATGAAGAGACTGAGCCTTTGACATCAGACAACGCAGCTGGTTCTGTCACTGAGGATCATGAAGAGACTGAGCCTTTGAAGTCACCAAAACTCTCCAGCCAAGAACCCTCTTTAGAACATTCCGATAAAGATTCCTCAAAGGCAATAGAGACTCAATCTACTTCTGAGACACCGAAGCTGAAGCCCTCTGGTTCTGTAGAATCCTTTGCAAGCATCAACAGTGATATTGAAGGAGAAAGTCTTGTTGATCTGTTGAAGCAACAACTAGAATACGACAGGAAATGTCTAAAGGAATTAAGCAAAGAATTGGAAGAAGAAAGAAACGCGTCAGCCATTGCTACAAACGAAGCAATGGCGATGATCACAAGGTTGCAAGAAGAGAAAGCAGCTCTCCAGATGGAAGCGTTACAGTACCTGAGGATGATGGATGAGCAAGCCGAGCATGATGTCGATGCACTTGAGAGAGCAAACGATGTTTTGGCTGATAGGGAAAAAGAGATACAAGATTTGGAGATGGAGTTGGAGTATTATAGAGTTAAGTATCCAGATGAGTCGAGAGAAGAGATTCTCGCTAGTATGGGAGTTCTTGAGGGTATAGATACTAGCGGAAACTTAGAAACTGATGAGACAAGTGAGAACGTTCCAGCAGAATAATCTGCAGAAGCATATGGTGAAGAAAGCAGTTCCCAACATTTAAAGTCTGTCATTCTTTCAAGAATACAGGAAGTGGATTGATTACTTTAGAGAAACATTTAGAGACACAAAGGGAGAGTTTTTCGTTTTTTTTTTGTAATAATAGGGAAATGTTAGGAGTTAGTTGAAGACATAGCTCTGGAGTTTTGAGAGAAGATGATTGATTTTGGCTGTAACTGAAATCATTTTGTTATTCCTTTTGTTACTAGTTATCTCTATCTATGTGGCTGCCTCATTCTTTCTTTTAATGGAGAAACAGAACACACAAATTATCCCACTGAAACCAAAAGAGTTCAGAGAATATGTATAACTGAAGTTTTCAAACTTTACTACAAGTTCAATCCAAATGAGATGTACACTTTACTACTCAACAAAAGTCCACTTGCTACCATATATGTTGTGAGATTACACTTTCCTACTCGATCTCATCGACCAACTGTTAAACTTGTAAAAAGCTACAAAATATTACAAACAACATAGACTAGTGACAGATTCAACAAGTGGTGCCTGTAACCATACATAAAGTAATAACAAATTAACAAGACAAGAATGTTACCATTTTACCATCTTCAAAAGAAATACAACAACTTTTAAGATATTTCACTACTGAATGTGATTGTGAGCAGAATACACGTCACCCATTTTCACTAATAATTCATTACAGATAGTATCATGGAATTAATCTAAATCAGAATTCAACCTTATTTTAATGCGATTTATATTGATATACTTCAATCTAATAATGACTTGAAATGAAAAAATTATAAATAATTTATTTTAAACTAATTTTACATACATTAGGTTGCACATCTGGAATTTTAAAATCAAATACTTATTAGATAAACTGAGTTTTTGTTCTTCAAATAATTAAAACACAAGAAGAAAGCAACAAAAATAAAGTGAGTGATTGATTGGTTTCTCTTCAATTATAGTGGGAAAATGAATAGACAAAAATCATTAGAAAATTAGAAACGTAAAGAAGAAAAAGCTCAAAAGAAAAAAAAAAGTCGGCTAGGCTTTCCTTCCCCCGCGTTTGCGCATCTCTCTCTCCGTCTTCTTCATCTTCAAGCAAAAACAAAACACTCTCCTCTCTCCTTCACCACTCACTCTTCTCTCTCTCAACTCTAATCAAACCCTCTCTCTCAGCTTAAACACGTTTTTGGGGAAAAACGGTAAAGAAAAGAGTTTCCCTTTATTACCTTTTTGCTCTTTCTGTGTGTGGATTTAAGGATCATTTCTCTCCATCTTTCTACCTTCTTGCTTCGTTTCAAGTAGTTTGCTTTCCTTACTTAACACTTCAGTTTTTCTGATTCGATTTCGTTTCTACACTCAATCCTCTGTTTCAACCGCAAATTCTCAGTGTATGTTTTTTTTTTTAATTCGAGTAGATTTCTCATCTGGGTAATTGCATCTTTTAAAAAAAGTTAATATCTTTGAATCCAATTTTGCTAAATTAAGTTGACTATTGCCGACATAATCTCTATTTACCGACAAAAGTTTGTCTCTTTGTGATTGTAATATCGCAGTTGGGTTTCTAGTCTAATCTTTCGTCTTAATAAAATGTGGATTTTTGTTTATTTAATCATATTGGTCCAAAAGCTGTGCTTATTAAAATTGCAATCTTGATCTGATTTGTAAAAAAAAAAACGTTACTGTGATTTTGTTAGGTTGATTTGAAAATGATATTTGGATCAGTTCTGAGAACAGTTAACTTGAGAGAATGAAGTAGTTCCCCCGTGAGAATTTAACACTATTGTTTCTTTTATGCATACATGTTGAGTTGGTTTTGAACGGTTTTAGGAACTAAAAAGCTCTGAAGCTTGATAGTTTGAAGAAGAGAACAAGTATGCACAGGTGGATCTGTTGTGGGCGTAGTTCAGGAGATTCAGATGTATCGAATGATGAGCAACATCTGAAAACTCAGTGGCAGCAATCTGATGGTATGTTTCAGACAAGAGACTTCTCTTAACTCACTGAAAATGTCTTTGACTCTCTGTTTGGTTGTGTATTAGAGGGTTCAGCTTTCAAGCTTGTATAGTTTAGTGCCATATTGTCCTATATAAGTATGAATATCTTTGTATGTTTCTAATTGGAATACGTTTGGTTGTTTGTCACACACATGCAGCAGCACATAATAAGCCGAAACCACAAGCTGTTGCGAAGCCTGAGGCGCCAAAGGAAGCTCTTCCCATTGAAGTTCCTCCCTTGTCTGTGGAAGAGGTTAAAGAAAAGACTGACAATTTTGGATCAAAGTCACTGATTGGCGAGGGATCTTATGGAAGGGTATATTATGCAACTCTAAGTGATGGTAAAGCAGTTGCTTTGAAGAAACTCGATGTTGCCCCTGAAGCTGAAACAAACTCCGAGTTCTTGAGTCAGGTTATAACTATTTTTGCTTCAACCACCTTTTCTCTCCTTTGTCTTAGCTTAGGGAAACCTGTCTTTACATCCTATTGCTTGCTTCTCCTTAGGTTTCCATGGTTTCAAGATTGAAGCATGAGAATTTCATTCAGCTGGTTGGTTATTGTGTTGATGAGAACCTCCGTGTTCTTGCTTATGAGTTTGCAACAATGGGATCACTGCACGACGTTCTACATGGTATGCTGAGCTTCCCAGCCCATTCTAGCTATAAAATAGAATCGATTGGGTTTTGAAATGTGTTATTTATAACAGGTAGGAAGGGAGTTCAAGGTGCACAGCCAGGTCCAACACTTGACTGGATAACGAGGGTGAAGATAGCCGTTGAGGCAGCTAGGGGTTTAGAATACCTTCATGAGAAGGTTCAGCCTCCTGTAATACATAGAGACGTGAGATCTAGCAATGTGCTTCTCTTTGAAGACTATCAAGCAAAAGTTGCTGATTTCAATCTCTCAAATCAAGCTCCTGACAATGCTGCTCGTCTTCACTCTACAAGAGTCTTGGGCACCTTTGGCTATCACGCTCCAGAGTAACAATATTCCTTAAAGCCTTAGATTTTTTGTATTATCCAGATTACAGTATGAATGAGGCAGCTAAGACTTGTGTCTTCCCATTTGCAGATATGCTATGACTGGACAGTTGACACAGAAGAGTGATGTCTATAGCTTTGGGGTTGTACTCCTTGAGCTTTTGACAGGGAGGAAACCTGTGGATCATACAATGCCACGTGGCCAACAAAGTCTTGTAACCTGGGTATGTTTTTGTTTATCAGTGCCTGTCCAAATCTGTATCCTGCTCTGTTTTAATCTCCTGTCTTAAAACTTGGAGTTTTTGCTGTTAATTATTTTAGGCTACACCGAGGCTTAGTGAAGACAAAGTGAAACAGTGTGTTGATCCAAAGCTAAAAGGAGAATATCCTCCTAAATCAGTAGCTAAGGTACTTATCTTCACCCCATGATTGAAAATAACTCAGTTTACATTGCTTTGTTCTTTTTAAAATCTAAAACATTCATCTGTGGCAATGCAGCTAGCAGCGGTAGCAGCATTGTGTGTGCAATACGAATCAGAGTTTAGACCGAATATGAGTATAGTTGTGAAAGCTTTGCAGCCACTTCTCAAAACTCCAGCACCAGTACCAGTAACAGAGTCCTGAGTTTGTGCAACAGAGTTGGATTCTTTGTATCATACAAAGTTAGAATCTTTCTCTTTGATTTGGGGAAGAAAAAAAACAAAAAGTATAATAATAAGATCATATTTATTGGAGGGGATGGAATTATTAGTTTGCATTTTGTTGTGAAAACAGACAGGCTTTCTATGTTGCATGTGTCATGTCTGGATTGGAAACATGCTTTTTTGGCTTTGCATGTATTGCATCTGCTGTTCTTTGATTTTTTTCTATATAGATAATTGAATCATTTGAATATTTGGTCACCATTTAAATTATTTTTGTTTAGGTCTTTACAGAGTCAACACTGTGCCCGACATATGCATAAAACAGAGAATCTATGAACTGTCCCTTCAAAAATATTGTTATTGCCAAGTCTTCCGTCCTTCTTTCTCTCCTGTTTAGCATTACGAGCTAGCTGAAGAGAGAAATAAACATGCCAGGTTGGAAGATTGAGTGGTTTAACTAAATAGATACAACACATTATTTGCTATATATCACCATACACATTGACTAAAGCTACTGTCTACTAGACAATTAGAAGTAATGTTGTGAGAAGAAAAAAAAGGTGTATAGAGAATTGAAAGAGTGAACGAGCTATGGGAAGAAGAAATGGCACCACTTTGTCCTTGACGTTGCTGTCATAAAAAACAATAAACTTGTTATTGAAAAATGATGCGATGGATGGCTTTTTAAATGATGTATGGAGCATACGCCATTATTATTCAAGGTGCACATTGTGATCTGCTAACATGTATTATATGCCTCACTTGTTCAGCTTCCTCTAAATCTTTATCATAAACCACACATTTTATTAGATGTTAAGCTTAAAAAACAATTTGAAGCACGTTTTCACATGTGGGATATCTCATAAAAATGTTAAATCAATAATATAGTTTATTTTCTTATGACAAAACAAAATAGTGAGAAGGTATATCTCAAATATTAAGTATTCCACTAAAAATATTTCAAATGAGATACTTGAATTTTTTTCTGAGTGAAGTTATCAACATTTAAGATATCTATTAATTTTTTATGTAAGATACTTATATTTGAGCCTCTTAATGAAGTTGTTTTAAATAACTAAGAGAAGAATATGGGAAAACAAACGTAAAGACATAGAATTTTTACTTTGCTTGAGCAGTTTAAAACGTGCATAGATTGCAATACTTTCCTTTAGATATTTCCATGCAAATTAAATAAAATGATATTCAGACGTTGAACGTTTACATATTTTAAGTATTTATAGTCACAAATCAGAACATCCAAACTCTAATCTCTCAAGATATATAAAATAAGAAAATATTTTTTGTAGCCATGGATTCCATCCAGCATCCTCCATCTACTATCCTCGTTTGCCCTTTCTTGCGATACAGATGGTTTCCCCTTAAGAAATATGATAGAGATGCTAAATTTGTGATAATCGACAGTCCTCATTATTATCCATTTACCTTGCCCGAAAGCTCTTACCCTATAAGCCACTATGTCCACCGCCTTTACCCCCTTTATTGGTGCAACAACAAAGTATCAGGAGATGAGTCTTTGTGTGGTGCTTGTCAATGCAAAGAAATTGGTTCAACTTATTACCTTTGCGATGAATGTAAGGTACCCTACCACAAAGAATGTGTCGAGTCTCCCCGTCTAATCAAATCTCTTTATCACCATAAACACCATCTCCAACTTGTCACGAATATTTATTCATTTCCCTATGGTGTAGATGTTCATGAGATAAGAACTTGTTCTTATTGTGATTCAAATTGTGGAGACTATCGTGCAAAGTTATTCTACTACTGTTTTATTTGTAAGTTTAGTTTGGATCCTGTTTGCGCGACAAGACTCTCGTTTTTGAACTATCATAAAAGACATGAGCATACCCTCAACTACTTTCCTAGAAAATCTGACTTGATATGTGACGTTTGTGGGGTAGTTGATAGCAAGTCTCTCATCTTTGTGTGTCTTCAATGTGATTTTATTGTCCATAAAAACTGTATTTACTTACCATTTGTTATAAGAATATCGCGTCATGACCATCGTCTTTCTTTTACATATTCTAGTCCAAGAATATTGAATTGTGGAGTTTGTCGTCAAGAGGTTGACATCAATTATGGAAACTACTCTTGCATTAAAGGTTGCCCTTATGTAGTGCATTCCAAGTGTGCAATTCGGAGAGATGTGTGGGATGAAAAAGAACTCGAGGAAGAACCAGAAGAAGAATATGAAAATCTCAATTCTTTTGAAGTGATGGGTGATGGAATTATACAACATTTCAGCCATTCACATCACATGAAGTTTGAAAAGAATACTACTGACATTATGTATGATGAACGATGTCAAGCATGCGTACTTCCATTTTATGGTGGTCACGTTTTCAAATGTATGAAGTCCAAGTGTGATTTTGTGCTTCATGAAGCATGTGCAAATCTTCCGCGGACGAAACAACATATAGCCCATCCGTATCCATTTATTCTACAAGTGAGTGACACCAAAACTTGTTTCTTTTGTGGGTATTGTGATCGTTTTTCGTATGGTTTTAGATATGTGTGTAGCAAAGGGGGTGACTCTATAAACATAGACGTACGATGTGCTGCAATATCTGAACCATTCAACCATCAATGCCACCCACATCCATTGTTCCTTAACAATGAACATGGAAGATACCGACCATGTTCAATATGCAGAAAAGAGAAATTGCAGACTTTAAATTGTGTCGAATGTGATTTCTTTTTGTGCTTCTATTGTGCTACACTCCCATATAAAGTGATATATGAGCATGATGAACATTTTATCACTCTTTCATATGAAGAGAATGCAAGTCTCAGTTGGTGTGAGATTTGTGAGGAAACTTTAGATTCAAGCAAATGGTTTTATACATGTAATGAGTGCAAGGTCATTTTCCATATCCCATGTTTACTAGGGAGATGTGCACTTTATGTCAAGCCTGCTCAAAATCTCTTGTTAGATGATATTAAGATTGATATATTTCTGAACAATGGTCTCACTCGACCCATCTGCTATGAATGTGGAAGGCGTTGCCAAGATAAACTAATGCTTAAAATGGCAGATGATGATGACCCATCTGCTTTTTTTGTTACCTGGCTTGATGAAAACAGACCACTTTGCTATCGTCATTGGGAAGTGAACTTTACTTAAGGGCAGGAATCCGAAGCTGTGAGGGATAATACTAATGTACATGTTCTGGTTGGTATTGTGTGTTGCTGTTAAGAGTCTGAATAAAGATAGTTTGTATAAGATTTATTTTTACGTGAAATAAAAGTGTAACAGTTGACATTCTCAATGTAGTATAAAAATATGCAAGTTGGCAAATTGGCACCATTATGGAGGATTCAGCTTTTATAAAAACAAGTAGTAAGATGATGTCAAACACCATGACTGTCGTCTGTAGATGGAAGATTGGTGAGAATTAGTTTTATGCTGATTATAAATGGTCGTAATGATTACACACACACAAAAAGAATGTTCAAGCTTCTAATCAAAGTTACATTAAAAAAAAAAGGAAGCAGAGAAAATTGTTAGGGTTGTATGCGTTCCTTTGAATTGAAATACACTCTGGGTATAGTTTCCAGCATAAAAGGCTTCTTCAGTTCTAAACCGAGGAGGCCCCTTTGATTCCTTGCGTTGGTCTCTTCCTTCTCCTTGGTGCACCTTGCCGATCCAATGAATATATTTTTGGCTTTAAAGATGTTTTTCTTGTTGCATAAGCATACGAAGAAAGGTTTATTGCATTTTGTGACTTGGATACGAGAAAAACTTATTATTCTTTTGTTACCTGGCTTGATGCATTTACATTTACTTCACAAGATATGACAAGTTTACTGCTTCTATTGTCATGTCTCAACCTTATTGAAGAATTTAGTCATCTTATACATGCAAAGATCATATAATTCACGAAGTAGATATTTCTAAAATTTGATAATGTGTCACACTTTCATACCTCCTCATAGAAACACGAGGGTAGTGTTATTTAATCATATATTTTAACAGAATTTTAATCTAAACACATCCACCATTATTTGAATGATAAGTCTAAATTCTATTTTGAAATCTATGGTTATTAGATATGGTATAATAAATATTTTTAAAATATTGATGTTATTCAATATCTATTGAATAATTAAAATTTAGTTTTAAAATCTAGTGTTCGTCAACTTTATAATATTTTTATTTTATCAAGTTAATTGTGGTAGATGTCTCATTTGTAAATTATTGAAATCAGAATTCTAAGTATAGTACAAAGATTTTATATTTTATCAACTTAAATTGTAAATTTTTGTAAGAAAATTGATGGATGGAAAAATATTGATAGATGATTTTCATTAATCATTGATTGAATAACACTCCCTAATTAAAATCAACATTAAAATAAAATATAATAAAAAACAGTGTATGTACATATAGTTTTATAAAGTTAAATAAGTATATATTATAATTTAGAATATATGAAAATAGACTATTGACTTTGATTTAGATTTTAGACTAACCCCAATCTAACATTTAAAGTTAAAATGCTCATATGTATATGAATATGACTTATTCTTTGGGCTGAGGCCCAAATAACACATATCCTTTTTTAGTTCTCACGTGCGAAACCATCTTCTTCGTCTTCATCATCTTCTCCTTCCATAAACCCTACTCCTGAGTTCTCTGCACACAGTTTGCAGACCCCCAGATCCCATCCGATCCTTCCCATTAACCTACCCTCAGGTTCTGCTCCAAAGACGAAGCCTTTTGATCCATGACTTCAAAGTTCACGAAACTCAGTGGTCAATTCATAGACAAATTCACCCGTGTGACCACATTGCCTGCTCATCATACTGATTTGGTCAAAAGAGTTTCGATTCTAAAAAACAAACTTTTAGCGATGGGTAACAGTAAGGAGAAGTTCGAGAGCGTTTTGGATCAGAAAGGAAAATGGTTACTTAAAAATTATCGTGATGGAGCTGGTATCGTGGAGCTTATGGATCAACTCTTTCCTCTTCCTTACTTAGCTCTTCAGGTTTAACATTACATCTTTCGTGTTCTTGTAATAAAGTTCGAATCTTGCAATCTGCCCCTGTCTCTAGTTTTGAGTATAATAAGAACCAAACACTGTTGAGTTGAACAAGAACACAATCTTGTAATAAAGTTCGAATTTTGCAATCTGGCCCTGTCTCTAGTTTTGAGTATAAGAACCAAACATCGTTGCGTTGAACAAGAATGTTGTACATTGATATCTTTCCTGATTAATTGATCTAGGAATGTAAGTTTGGCTCTTTATATTAGGTTTATTATGTTATGACGATGTGTTCTTGAGTTTCGTGTTCTTGTAATAAAGTTCGAATCTTTCCATCTGCCCTGTCTCTAGTCTCTAGTTTTGAGTATAAGAACGAAACATAAAGTTATAGATTGGGCTCATAAGGTTTCATTACATCTTATGTGTTCTTGTGAATCTTGCAATCTGCCCTGTCTCTAGTCTCTAGTCTCTAGTCTCTAGTTTTGAGTATAAGAACCAAACATCGTGGCGTTGACCAAGAATGTTGTACATTGATATTATTTCTTCATTAGATTGATCTAGCAGTGTAATTTTGGTTATCGAGGAGTGTAATTTTTGTTAAGTTATGTCAATGTTCTTGAATGGTTTCAGGTTTTAGAGTGGAGAAGAAGACAGATGGATTGTTCTGTCTCTTTAACATCAGAGGAGTATGCAAAAGGAATCAAAATCGCGGGTCGAGCCAGGGACATAACCTTGGCAGTCTCTCTTTTCAACGAGGCGGGTAAGAAACGGAGTCAGACAGCTTCAGTTTACAACGCTTTGATGAGTGCTTACATGCAGAACGGCCTTGCCGAGGAATGCCAGTCAGTTTTTAAAGATTTCATTAGGCAAACACATTGTGCTCCGACAGTTTCGACTTATAATATTCTAATATCTGTCTATGGGAGGCTTCTGATGGTTAAGAACATGGAAGCAGCTTTTAAAGAGATGCGAAAACGAAAGCTTTCTCTGAGTTCCAGTACTTATAACTGTATGATTGCTGGTTATGTGACTGCCTGGGAATGGGATAAAATGGAAGCTACGTTTGGGGAAATGAAGAAGGGTTTAGTTGAGCCTGACATGGAAACATATCTGTTAATGCTTCGTGGGTATGCAAACTCAGGGGAGTTGAATAAGATGGAGGAAATGTATGAAGCGATTAAGGATCAGGTTGGTGTGAACAGAAGTCCTTTGGTTAGAGCCATGATCTGTGCTTATTGTAAAAAAGCTGTTGAGGGTAGAGTTGAAAAGATTGAGAGTTTATTGAGTCTTCTATCCAGGGAGGAGTATTATCCTTGGTTGAATGTGCTTTTGATTAGACTCTATGCTCAAGAAGCCATTCTGGAATCAATGGAGAGGAGAATAGACGAAGCATTTGAGCGTAACACATGTATTAATAAATCTAGTATCATGCGGGAAATCAGTGCAGCTTACTTCAGGTGTAATGAAGTTGACAGTCTTGTTAAGTTCGTTAAGCGTGCTGAGTCTGCTGGCTGGAAGCTATGCAGGTCTCTCTACCACTGTAAGATAATGATGTATGGCTCACAAAAACGATTTGACGAAATGGAAGGTGCTGTGAATGAGATGGGAGAGACTAATTATGGGCTTGTAACTAAAACGTTTGCAATTATGTATAAGGTTTTGAGAGTCATGGAATGGTGGCAAATTCTGAGAAAGTGAGGGGAAAGATGTTGAAACATGGGTATCTGTGTACTCCAAAAACACATCTAACTCAATCGGGTTTAGACGCACCTCAACTTGCGTAGAATTTTCAGTTGTTTTGGTTTGTTCAGCGTCATTATCAAGTGCTGTTTCTGCCTTTGCATTGATGGTAACAGACCACGGTGTTGTGCTTAGCGTTTGTTTCTATGCCCCATGACCCTTGATAAAGAGTTACTGGCTGGGATCTGTCACCGAAGTTTTGAAATGAGAATAGAACACCGCTCATCATTATCTTGCGATAGTTGTACATGTTGCCGGCAAGAGTTTCAAGTTTGAACATGTTGGTGGATGAGAACCTCAATAAAGTAAAATATATGTGAGCTATGAAAAACAGAGTCTGCACTGTATTTATTTGATTGCCTGTGTAACAGACTAACAGCTAATGGATTGGAAGAATCTCTTCATTCTTCAGAAACTGAAGGCTCTGCCAAGTGGAGTTATTTACCTTCAAAACCTGATAGACGTTGCAGCATGTTTCTCTTTGTGCCAGCCCTCTCTCTGGGTCCGTAAGTTGACATTCTCTGTTGTTGTTAGGCTATTGTTAGGCTACCAACATTCATCACTCTCATGTTCACATTAATTTAGAGGAAACAGAGAGCTCAGCTACAACACTGTTTCAGTATAGAGGGGACCTCGTATCTAATTTACATACTATTCAGTTCTTTTAAGTGTTACAAAAAAAAAGAAAAAAATTCAGTTCTTTTAAAGCCAGTAAGCCTTTTGTCTTCTAAAAGCTGTGTTAAACCTTTTCATTAGAGTTACTTGTTTCTTTGCATGTTTTTAAGTCTGTCATGACTCATGACACAAATGAAAGTTATGCCAGTAAAAGAAAAGAGAAGGCTTTCATCAAACTAAACTTAACAACCACTGAATCCTAAAAATCATAGTTCTCAAACGCTTGTTTTGTTTTCTTCATCCACTCTTTATACAAGAGACAACAAAGACGAAGACAACAAAATAACAGAATATGTTTTTGATTTAGTTAGTTTTAAGCGACACTGAAGGAAGTAGCAGCATTCTCGACAAACTTCCTAGCTCCTTTAAACCATCTCTTGTCTCCTGCTTGTGCTTTACAGATGTAAAGCTTTCCACCATTCACAGTGGCTGTGATCAGCTGATGCTTCCCACCTTCATCTCCATCAGCTGTTCTTGTCAAAACCGACAAGTAATAGTACTTCTTCCCACCAACCTCTTGTGTAGATGTCTCCAGAATATTTGCAGTTGCTACTGCATTTGCATCAAACCCTCCCTACAAATAGAACAGTAACATCAGCTTTGAGCTTTATGTTCTTGTTTACTAACTCCATAATCTCAAAAGGAAGTTACCTCAGAGGCGGTTTCGCCGAAGTAAGCTTGCTTTCCAAGGAGGTAACTGACGTGCAGAAACCAGAAACATTATCATCAGTTTTGGCGACTCACATATTGATTGAACTTTATGTTGTAAGAACGTAGGAGAAACCTGAGAAAGGAACTGTTCAGGAGAACCGTAATCAGTAATGGTCTTCTTGTCTGTAGGAGTGATCATCACAGAGACGTTGCTAGTGGCATCAAAGTTGTCTTCATACCTTAGGACCTGTCCTGGATACTCAACTTCTTTGCTTGGGTTCCACTTTGATGGGATCTCTATTTTGAATCCTTCTCCAGTGTACGGCATGAAGTCTGTGTTCTTCTTTGGCTTACCAAATACATTTGCTGCAAAACGTTTTAAGATTTTCTTTGATATGATCGAAATGTGTAGAGAGAAAGATTGGTCTTGTAGTTAGGGATCGTACCGGCTTCACCATAGGCAGCATCAGCAGGAGAGACTTTGGATCCAACGGTGGCAGTACCGACGAGGAAGGTGAGGGCAAGACGACGGGAGACGGTGGAGTTAACGTCTTCTTGAGACTGTTGAGCTCTGCATACTAAATGGACGGGTCTAGAGAAGGACACGTGATGAAGGGACGAGGGGAAGGAAGATAATCGCGCGGTGGAGAAGGTAAGTGTAGTCTGGTGCAAGAAGCATGCGGTGTAGGCCATTTTCTTTCTTGTTTCAACCTGAAGAAGAGTCGAGACCAAAGTGATGAAACTGTTTTTAAAGTACAGAGTTGATTTCTAGAGTGTTCAATGCTCATTGGCTGCTTTTGGATTTGGGAGCGCGATAAGGTTGTGTACTTGTATAGGTGCCTCGTGGCGACACGTGGCTGTGTTGACTTTATAAGATTTCACTGATGTACATGAAACTGCTAGAAGAGTCTTTTATAAGTAACACAACACCAACACTGTCACAACATGAAGCCGATTAAAAACACGGTTCATGATATATATCAATAAAGTTTCTACGCCCTAGAGCCGCCAAAATAGAATAGGAGGAACCATCCAACATAGATTGGTTTATACATTAACTTATCTGCCTCCATGGGACCCAAAACCATAACCCTTGGCTCTTCATGCATTTCCCTTCAGGTCTGTTTTGTCCTTGCCTTGCATTTTATGGAGATCTATCTTTGGCACATACACCACTTTCTTCTTACCAGAATCCAAGTTGTTGCCTGACCTGGTCTTTGTTTTCTTACTGCTTTGATGCTTAGCCACTGATACAGCAGCTTCTCTCGGAATTGTGTTTGATTGCTGATTCCCACAAACATGATCAGAAGGCATGTTCTCTTTCTTGTTACCAGAAACCAAACTGTTCCCTGATTTATGCTTTGAGTGCTTAGCAGTAGATGCAGCTTCAGGCTGGTGAATCCCATTGGTGTGACTAAAAAACAACTTCTCCTTCTTCTTACCCGGATCAGCATTGTTGGCTGCTGATTTAGCCTTTGTTTGATCATTCCTTTGCTCCCTAGGCATCGATGCAGCTTCTGTTTGAGTCGTGTTGAAGCCATACTGTCGATTCTTATTCCTCTGTCTAGAAGAAGGCTTGTTTTCTGTCAGACTCAGAGACCAAAAGAGGGAGTTAAGGAAAGAGTCCGGTTTATCTTCCCATCCTCCGGTTTCATACATCTCAGTCCTCGAATGTTTTGACCTCATAGACTCAGGTGGAGATGAAAGACCAACATGACCATCATATGAGAGTATACAAGCTATTGCATGCATAGAAGCTCCAAGATGAGGCGGCAAATTCTCCCGTGGATGTCTTACCTAATAAATGTCAATGAACAGTTAGAAACTCAAATCAAACCAAATAGAAAAATCATCCATGTATGGAGTAGTTTTAAAGCTTAACATAAACTCACTTTGAACAAGATGGATGCTGTTAGTCGCTCACGCAAAATGTACATTTGAGCAACTTCAAGGGCTGTGGTTCTGAAAGGAAGCCACCGATCTACTACAACTTTAACTGAATTTTCAGGTGAAGACATCATCTTCTCTCCACGCCTACTCTCTTCATTAATAGAATCTCCTTCTCCTGTTTCTTCATCTTCCTCTTCTTCCTCACTATCATCAGCATCACTGCCCTCTGTAGGAGCTACAGCTATCTCTGTTGAGATCAGTAACAAAGGAAGATCACGAGCAACAGTGCAGTTTCTTATGTGCATGCCTCCATCTCCACGTGTGATCTCATCGAAAACAACCAAAGATTCATCATACTTCCTCGACGACAAGTTGAAATTGTTTGAGAGTGAATGCACACGAACTTTGGCACCACTAGCAGTCTCTACTAAAGATCTTCTGTTATTACCAAAAGATGGGCATAATCTCCCAACCATAGGATACAACCCTACTGCTAGGACAGCACGGAGGATACCTGGATCACGCGAGTTCTGGCTACAACTTGAGATGTCACTTGGAATAACCCCGTGTCTTTTAAGTTCAGACTCAAGTTGGCTACGCATTTGATCCAACATCTTCATAGCACTTGGGGAGACAAAGTACTGAGAGCAAAACTCAGCGGAAAGACCTTTTTCTTTTGCGTTTTTCCAGCACTCAAAAGCAGCAACAACCGCTAGGTGATCACTGTCACCACCACAGAGTGACGCAAGTTCAAGTTTTGCGGCAGCAGCTTTCTGTCTTTCAGCTGGCGACATAGGCATGGTAAACGGTTCCTTGTAGTCGGCTGCACATGCCAGAGTAAGTGCTGGATCCAGACAGTTTACTAGCACAGCGAAGAAAAGCATTTTGCTTATAAGAGGATGAACTGGGAGATGACCAAATTTCTCTCCAAGTTCTGTAAGCTCTTCCTCAGGTGTCAGGGCACCGATGTCTTGTAGGATGCTCAATGCGTTTGCAATACTTTGATCAACAGGTGGGTCTAACAACTTCTGAAGGAAATCATTTGTTTTGCAATTTGGATCAAGTATCTTAACCTGAAAATAACATAGAAATGCACTCACTGTTATTCACCCAATAGAGCAACAAATAAAATGAAATGGGAAGTACCTGTAAGCAGAGTTCTTCTACAGGCATCCTCTTAATCTCAGGAACCTTAAACTCTGGCATAGAAGCTGCACGAAGTCTAGAATAGAGATGATAACAAATACCAGGTTGGCAACGGCCTGCTCGGCCCTCACGCTGCTTTGCATTTGCTTTTGAGACCCATGAAGATTGAAGAGTTGAAACATTATTGTAAGGATCATAGCTCTTTTCCTTCATCCGGCCACTATCTATCACATAAACCACATCATCAATGGTAACTGCTGATTCAGCAATATTCGTAGCAAGCACAATCTTGCGGCAACCTCGAGGAGGGCGACTAAAAACTTTCTTCTGTTCCCCTGCTGGAACCATTGAGTGAAGACATATGATGTTGAATTTACTAGTATCTTTGAAAAAGGGGCTGTCAAGTAATCTCTGTCTTGTTTTGTTTATATCATCCCAACCAGGTAGAAAAACAAGAATGGCACCACCACCATCTTCTGAATCACCGCATATTTTCCTTACTAGCTGGAGTATAAGACTCACATCGACCTGCTCCGGGTTGATAGTCGTCATGTACTTATCAAGTAACTGCTGTGCTTGCTGAGAATTAGACTGGGAATTTTCAGCATGTTCCCTGATGATTTGAGCAGCTTCTAGCTGATTCTCTGCTTCGGCCAATTCTGATGCTGTCATACCATCTTTAGACTTTAATTTCCAGTCTGCGCCAAGTGAGAGGAGCATGCAAACATCGCTGATCCTTCCCTTTCCAGCAAAGACCATAAGTGGTGTCAGCCAGGTTGATTGGTGCTGATAGTTGTAGGTCTGGAGATTTCCCTGAGAAGAAACTAGATCTAAGAGGGTATCAAACTCATCATTTGTCCAAGCCAAGATGATTGCTTCATCTAAAGCAAGTTTATCTTCATCGGTCAAGTCAAGCTTCTGGTCGGGTATACTCAAGTTGGTAGAGCTTAGATGATTATCTCCACCTGATTTCAGAATAGAGAGCACATCCTCCAAATATAAGGTTCTCACCTGTAGACACAAAGCAATGAGATTACACCCGGGCATAACATAATTAGCAGGTTTGAGAAAGTGAGACAGAGATAAAGAGAAACTAACTGGATGAGTGAATCCAGGGACACGGACAACAGGGCAACCTCCAAAATATC